CTCCTTTGTGGGACAGATTAACTGTGAAAGGAAATGATATTGGAACAAGCAGAGAATCAAAAAGTGTATCAAGAAGTTCTGTGGGGCGTGGAAAATAGAATCAATACCAACGGCTGCCATCCAAAATAAGAGGCTAAGATCGTGGCCTGAAATTGTTGAACTCTCAGAATTTGGAAGTAAATTGCCTAATTGAAAGCTTGTTTCTGGAGCTTACCTTGAGCTTCGTTGGAGGCTGTTGTGACACAGTAGTAGTGCCCCTACCTCTGGGCCAGAAGGTTAGCACCTGCCATGGAGCTATGTCTCCACACGCTAGAACAAGTCAATTTTTTAAAATTAATTTTTAACTTTTATTGGAAAAACATGGGAGCTCATAGTGGCAGTGTGGCAGAGAATAAAAATGACAGGCCACCCTGGATGCTTGGGGTCACTCTTCCAGTTTGAATGATCCACATTTGGGCCTCCTCTTGAAGAGGAGACAACATCACATCACAAGTAGCTAATACATTATAACAAATTGAAAGAAAAGCAAGTAAATCACACTTTCACCTGGAAGGAATATGAGAGACCTTGGATTGGTAAGAGGGAGGGGCTAAAAGTAGCCACCTGCTTCCGTAGAATCTTGCTGTTGGGAATGGGAGGGATGTTAGGGTGATTGAAGAGTGAATCTCTTGTCAAAGAGAGAGTGATCCCTTTAGAAAGTTGCAAAGGAAGGGGAAGACATGGTAGTATTAAAAAAGCATGTTAGGAGGAATTTCTTTACACAGAATCTTAGGAATGTGGAACTAGCTGCCACATACAGAACAATGATGCACTGAAGAGAATGGATATTCTGCAGACATTGTTCAAACACCACCTTTCTCTTTGTAGTAGTGAGCCAGATCTCCCAGTTGCTTGCCATTTCAATAAACCACTATGGTAATATTTCTGCCCTGGGCTTGCTGCAGTGCTGCAATGTTCCAATGAAGCATAACCCAAGCATGAGGAAAAATACCTAATCTTCCACTTAAGCACTTTACAGCTTTGCTGTCAACATTGATTTCAGTAATTTCACAAAATAACGCTTCATGTCTGTTCTCCATTTTTCTTTCTTGTTTTAACAATTTTTTTCCATGTGCTTACAAAGCAAACACCTCTCGCCATTAGTTCCACTGCCGAACAGTGCAGGCTGTTCTGCTCATTGATGCAGGCAGTCCCTGGGTTGTGAACGGGTTCTGATCCTGAGTTGTTTCACAGGTCAATTTGTATGCTAGTCAGGACACAATGCAGGAGAATAGAAGGCATCCATTCGTAGGTACAGGCTATGTTCAAATGTCAGGGTCTTTAAATTTACACCCCTCTCTGGGATCCCGTTCATACTTGGCAAAAGTAAGTCAACAATCGTATAATGAGGACCCCCTGAACTAACCTTTTGATTCCATTTTAGAGTTGATGCATCCTGTTCATGTTTTTAACAAGTTTATTTTCTGATCAATGTTTTTAATCCTGTTTGATCCATTAACAAATGTTAAAGGGACTTTATAAATATAATAAAACATTCACGTCAATGTTATAAAATGAAATGACATAATAAGTCACCTGACTGAAAGCTTGGTGAAAGTGATAAGTTTTTAAGTGGCTTAAGGGAAGGAAGCAGGGTGGAGGGGTTTAGGGTGGAAATTCTAGAGTTTGAGATTAAAATTAGGGATGTAGAAGAGACCAGAGTTTGAGGAGCACTGATATCTTGGAGGGTTATGGGACTAGCAGGGATTCGAGAGGAAAGGGAGAACCCAGGGCGATTCTGAAGGTGAGATTCTTATTTTCATGATGTATGAAGTCAAATCTCATGGCACTGGATCACAATATTACACTTGCAATCTTTGTCACAGTAAGGAAAGCAGGTGTATAAGAACACCACCTGCAAGTTCTCCTCCAAGTCTCTCACCGTCCTGACTTGGAAATATATTGCTATTCCTTCTCACCACATGGACTGCAATGGTTTAAGAAGGCAGTTCACTATCACCTTTTTCCTAGGCAACTGGGGATGGGCAATAAATGGTGGCCCAGTCAGTGCTATCCATATCCCATGAAAGAACAATTTAAAAAAAAAAGTGAATGTCAGTGTACGCTGTGTATGTAAAGCCCTGTAAATAATTGCCCTTTGATCTCCAGAATAACCATTTCCATTAGATTAAGCCCTTATCTCCAGGAAAGCTTTGTATTTGTGGGTGAATCTAAAACTAGAGGTAAATTGAAGATAGTGACTAATTTATAAATTCAGTGAGGAATTCAGGAGAAACTTCTTTACTCAGAAGTGGTTAGAGTATGGAATCTCCTGTCCAATAGGATGAGAATAGAAAAGAAGCATTTGTGGAGAAACTTGATAGGCAAATGAGGGTGAAAGGACTAGCAGATTTGTTGCTGGGCTGAGATGAAATAGAGCTGGAGGAAAATGATATGGAGTATAAGCTACACCTCATCAGATGAGCAGACCTGGCTACTTTAGCTCTAAATAGTGAGAGGAGTACACGTGAAGGAGAGTGTTGATATGACTGGGTAGAAGGAGAGAAAGGGGATGATAAATTGTATGTGAAATGTATTTGGATGGTAAAGAAAAGACAAGTATATTTATCTAATGACTTTGAGTTCAGGATATCTGAAGTCTGTTGCAACCAATAAGGTTTTGAAATGTTGTCACCACAATACTGTAGGAAGGCGGTGTTTGAGAGCTGCATGACTTGCTAGGTGGATCTCGTGAGTTAATGTAGTACTTCAGTGTTATTGTGAATTAATGTGCCCCTTACATGGGCTGAGATTTGGGGTGAGACGTAAGGCGTGGGTGTCGATTTTATTTTTATGGTTTGTTTCGGTGGAGTGTTCCCTGTCTTTGGCACCTTTTATTACAAATACGCTCCTGCAGATGACACTGCTCCTGAACTAACCGAACAATAACAGTGAGGATAGTTTCATTGCCTCTCTTGGTGTTCATGTAAGAGGGACAAAGTCTTTTCCTGAATCTGACCTTCTGGGTCTGATGTGGTTGATGTCAGTGCCACACCAATCATCTACTTGTTGATACTGGACTTGGATCAAAGGACAGTGCCCTGGGCTGTTGTGACCTAGTTCATGTGCATCCTCATGATGGAGCACATAACCATATAACATGCATTAACCTGCAGACAAAATGGGTCAGCTTAGGCCACAAACCCGTTTCGTGTGTTTGAGCCATTTTTAAGATTGAGGTTTACACTTCATCACGTCCCCTTTGTATTCTTGTTTCCATCTCTGGAGATGACAGCACAAACTGACAATCCAAGGAATCTTGGTCCAATACAAAACCTTGTCTTTAATGCATCACTGAAGTTTGTGGTAATTTATAATATGACATACAGTTTTTACAAGCACTGATTTGGTATCCCTTTTCTGGGGTAACATTTATGCCAGAGGTTCATGGAGAATTATAGTACAGCTATAGAACAGTATCACCTCGAAGGTATGTTTTACTCACTAATATCAATTCTGTAGCTCAATTTGGAGGAAGATCAAGTTTGTTCAGTGAGGGCATCATTAGAATATCTGCTGCAAAGCAAGCACTTTCCACTGTAGTTGAGAGCGGTGCAGACCAGCCAACCCAGTACATAATCACAAGGGATAAAACAGCAAGAGAAAATCATTCAGTCCATTAAATCTGTTCTGTCATTCGCAGTCATCTGCAATCATGGCTGACCATGGGATTCAACCTCCCTTTTACAACCATTCTCCATATCCCTTGAATCTCTGTGGGACCAAAACTCTCTCTGTTTGAGTCTCAAGTATGTACAATGATGCATCTTTCACAACCCTCTGGGTTGGAGAATTCCAAAGATTCAGGACCCATAGAGTGAAGTAATTCCTCATCTCAGCCCTAAATGATCTTTCTCTTTTCCTGAGTCTGTGCACCTGTGTTTTAGATTCCCTGGCCATTAGCGACAATCACTGTGTCAAGCCCTTTCAGAATCTGTTGTGTTTCAATGAGGTCAACTCTCCTTCTGAACTCAAGTACTCAGCTTCTCATTATAGGATAACACTGTCATCTCAGGAACGAATCTAGATGACCCTTTGCTGTAGTGCCTCTAATGCCATTGTGCCCCTCCTTAAATATCGAGACCAAACTGCGCAAAGTATTTCAGATACGGTCACATCAGAGACCACCTATTCAATTATAGCTATCCACTTTTGATCTTGTACTCCAAACCCTTTGCATTAAAGGCCAGATTGCTTATTTCTTTCCAGATTGCTTATTGCTCCTGTGTGCCAACTTTTTGTGTTCCTTAAATGAGCAAATCTGAAATCTTTGAGCATCAACACAACTTATTTCGCATCTTTTATTTTAGAAAGTAGTATCCTGCTTTTCTGTTCCTCGAACCAAAGTAAATAACTCCACTATCTTGCCTCCCACTGAGCCTGTCTATATCTCTTTGTAGCCTCTGTCCTCTTTCTTTTCCTAACCTTTGTACCTCAACTTGCTGATGTAGTACTTTGTCTCTTCAATCTATATTAATGACTTTGATGTATTTAGCTGAGGCTCTAGCACTGAATTTTTACACGCACCATGAGCCACGGAAAATACTACTTGAAAGTGCCCCATTTATGCATCCCTGGCCTTTCCTAATCTGGCTGCTCTATGCTGAGAGATTATGACGACTGCAGTTCACATGGGACCCATAGCTCAATAAAGAGGAAACTGTGCATGGCTTGCTGGTCTTATTCTTCGCCTGTTAGCAATGTAGAAACAGGAGTAGGCCATTCAGCCCATTGAGTCTGTCCTGTGATTTAAGACTGATCTGGCTGATCAAACACTTTTGCATACACCATCTCTTACATGAGTGATAAAACATTGTCAACCTCCACATTAAGTATTTTAAAGACTGATATTCCACAGCCCTCTGAGGTGAAAAATTCCAAAGATTCACCACATTTTGAATGAAAAATATTTCTTCTCATCTCAGACTGACATGGCATTCCCCTTATTTTGTAGTGTCTCCCCACATCCCTGCCGGTTGTAGATTTCCCAACCAGGGAAACGTCTTACCTGCATTTGCTCTGAATATCCCTTTTAAGTTTTTTTGTAAGTTTCAGTGAGGTCACCCCTCATTCTTCCTAACTCCAAAGAGCACAGTCGCAGTATTCCCAACCTCTCTTCATAGGGCACCCCTGGGAACAAAATGCTGACTTTTTGTTGCAATCCCTCTTTGGTAATAATATCTTTCCTGAGATGAGGAGACCAAAACACTCAAACTGTTTCAGATGCAGTCTTAACTATACAATTGAAGCTGTTTCTTTTGCATGATTGGTGTATGTGTATATAAGTTTTCTGTGAAGAGGTCTCCTGTGGATGAAGCAACAAGGTCCTGACGGCAAATCCTGTGAATCCTAACCTGGCCAAAGTTCTTTCTGTCACCCAATACCCTTAACAGCTCAATGATTTTCCTCATCATCTGGTGTAGAACACTGATAGTATGGGTTTCTGAGACCTCTGAAAATTTGGTTGTGAACATTTGCGTAATGCTGCAGTCATCGGAACAGTGTGTGTAAAACACCATTGCCAATAAATATTGTGTAACATAGTGAGTCACTATCCCGTGTCACTTATTTATTATACCCTACAGAACTTGTCTGGAATCCAAAATAGAACCCTTGGGCCTGCACTTTGCTATGTTCATACCTACCCTGGAGAATCAGTGCACTTCAGAGCAGAAAGAGAAATGGCTGCACCTGTCTTACACCCAGCAGATCATCGGCACTTATGCCCAGACAGAACTGGGCCACGGTTAGTGTTCTCAAGAGATGATTGGGTATTTGATCACATGACATCCCCCTGCTACAAACTATGAACCTGACCATGGCCAACAAGTTGCCCCTTCGAAATGGTGGGGTGCCCTTGTCTTGGTCAACTCAAAGGCAAAGGTACACGTGGTGGTGGGAGGGAAGGCTGATACCTGATGCATGGCGAGTTCCTCGTCCTGACGTTGCTGTCGAGGTAAAGACCATGCAGCAAGGAAGATGATGGAGAAAGCTGGTAGATCATTCTTGCACACTTCTGGGTACAACTTGCTGGCCCTTGTTTTGGTGGAGATGTGAGCCAGTCATGTACCCAAGATTAGCGGAGGGCAAGCAAGTGGTACAAAGAGCAATAAAGATGTTTTACAAAATGGGGGCTGGCATATCCAGCTAAGTGGGTTAAGGAGAAATTGTGGCTGGAGCTATCTTAAAAAATGCAGAAAATCTCCATCTGGTTTATTGATATACAGTTTATTGATGAACCTTTCTGTCAAAGTCTGATGAAACTGAAACTCAACTCTGCCACTTAATGATTTCTATAATGCAGGCTTAATTTAAGTTTAAAATGGTTTGGGAACAGCTGCCGTGCACTACTCCCACACTCTGTGGTACTCCTGATGTACTGTGGAACTCTTTAAATATTAAATTTTTATTTTTACCCTGCCTAGCTCCCCCATGTTCATTCTGGCATCAAGGAGAGTCTCTTGAGGTGTTCAGTGGTAAACCTGGTATTCCATAAGCATTACCCTATATTCTCGCTTCCCTATCCCTCCTCTCCCTATTCCTAGACCAACTCCACTCCCCACTCCCCCACCCCCCCAATGTCATGAATGACTGTTGACTAATTCTGTCAATGCTCAATTATGCCTGCCATTTTGTTTCAGTTGCTGGCCAATAAATAATTTTGCTTTGCTTTAAATGCATGCTTTTGACTTGCTGTCTTCGTGGTAATAGTGGCAAACAATGCCTAAAACAAGTGATAAGTGTGGAGCTGGAAGAACACAGCAGGCCAGGCAGCATCAGAGGAGTAGGAAAGTTGACGTTGCGGGCTAGGACCCTTTTTCAGAAATTTTCTGAAGAAGAGTCCTGATCCAAAACGTCAACTTTCTTGCTCCTCTGATGCTACCTGGCCTACTGTGTTCCTACAGCTCCACGCTGTGTTATCTGACTCCAGCATCGGAAGTTCTTACTACCTCTGTCTAAAACAAGTAGTTGGCTTGTTTTAACACTGGCATGACAATGTGAACCAATGCGTAAATCCCTGCTTCTGCTCTTGTTAAATCGGATCTGATAACTGACTGAGTGCAAAAAAATCCTTCTCTCATCTGTCTCCTGTATCCCCCAATCCCTTTTTTAAAAGCATTTAATCCAGCCATTGTGTGAATCTGGACATTAAGAACTGGTGACATGAGAGTTTGCAAATGTACATCTCACATTGTAGACTGTTGCTGCCTCCTGCATAATGCAGTGACCAGATACGGAAGAAAGGTGCCACATATAGTGCGCATCTCAATTTTTATTGCTAATTTTAAAGAGAACATGCCCATTAAAATGGCTCAAAGAAGTGAATGTTTTGAAGGTGTTCTATTTTCCACCACTTGTTTTCTTGTTTGTGAGTACAGCCTCAGTAATTTCTCACACCCCCAAAGTTGATGAAAACTATTGTGGTGTGATATCACTTGTTTTTATTGGAAACTTGAGCACTAAAGCCCCAGAAATGTAAAATGCCCCATGTCGATTGACTCTTGCATAGAGCGACTGACTAATGCTGTCAAAGAGCCTCTGGCAACTGTTATTTGTCTTTTCTGTCTGCAGTTACTATTTCTGTTTATATTGCTGACATTTGTTTCTTCCATTACAAAGCCTTGTGTGTTAGTATGAAAATTTGAGGCCTCACAAACTTGGTCTTTGTAATGCCAGTCAGTATCTGCGATCAAAGTGTTCATTGCTGAGTTTTTTAAAAACATAATTCAGTGGTGGTTTTCTGTAGTTTGTCATTAGACAGCTGCCCTGTTGATGACAGGTACGCAGTGCGGTCAAAAATCAGGAAATATTAGTGTTACTAACATCCAGGTTTCATAGGAAACACTAGGATTCCATCTGAAAGAGTAAACCAGGAGGTGGTTGCAGATCTCAAATAGATTGAGAACACAACATCTAATGTGTATTTTTGTGAGAACGCAACATAGTGAATGCACAAATGGCTGCTTGATCGTCTCAGTATCATTAATGAGCTTGATTAGCTTCTGATTGATCCAGATTCAATACTTCTTGCACTCATAATTTCTTCATGATTGATCAGTAATTGCTGCAGCATGCAAGAGTTAATCAAATCTCACATGCAACCTGTCTTCTTTTCTCTGTTTTCCCCCCCAACACCCGGCAACCCTTTTCCTTCCTCCGGCTTTGCTCCTTTCCCCTTCTTGTTCCTGACCCTGCAATCCTGCCTGTGTTTCCACAGCTATGTACATCGTGGACGGCCAGAGCCCCTAGATCTCCACTTGGGCATGTTCCTACCCACCATCCTCAACCAGGCCACTCCTGAACAACAGGATCGCTTCTTCATGCCAGCTTGGAACCTGCAGATCATTGGCACCTATGCCCAAACTGAGATGGGCCATGGTATAGTACAGAAACTTAGAGCTGGAGTTTAATTCTGACCTTTATCCTATCAGCACATTTGTGCTAGTCAAAAACAACTATCTAATTATTCTAATCCCATTTTCCAGCAGAGTTTCTGCCTCCTCCAGCCTTACAATGAGTTCCAGATTTCTACCACCCTCTGGGTGGGAAAGCTTTTCCTCACATCTCCTGTAAAACTCTTGCCCCTTACCTTAAATCTGTGCCCACCCTGGTCATTTCCCTCCATCAAGGGGAGAAGTTTCTTCGTCTATACCCCTCAATTTTATACACTTTCAATCATGTCCTCCCTCAGTCTCCTCTGCTCCAAGGAAAACAACTCCAATCTGTCCAATTTCTTCTCATAACTGCTCAGGCAACATCCTTCTAAACCTCCTTTTCATCTTCTCCAGGTCTATCATATCCATCCTATAATGTGGATTTCAGAACGGCTGTGGCAATTCAAATGTGTTATACAGTTCCAGCATGAACTCCCTGATCTTAAACTCTGTCTCGAATAATAAAGTATATATCTTCTGAGCTGCTTTATTCACCTGTCCTGGTACATTAAGGGATTGCACACCAAGGTTCCTCTGATCCTCAGTACTTCCCAAAGTCCCACTACTTCTGATGTATTCCCTTTCCTTGCTTGCCTTGCCGAAGTGTATCACTTCTCATTTATCTAGATTTAATTCCATTTGCCACTGCTCAGCCCGTCAGACCAAGCATCTATATTTTTCTGTAATCTAAGGCTATGCCCTTCATTATTTACCACCCCAATTTTTGAATTGAGTGTGAGCTTACTGATCAGCCCTCCCTCATTCAAGTCTAAATCATTTATATAAACCACGAATGGCGAAAGCTCCAACACTGACCTCTGTGTGACCCCAATGGACGCAGACTTCCAGTCAAAGCACAAACCCTCAACCATCACTCTCTACTTCCTGTTACTCAGCCACTTGTGAATCCAATTTGCCAAATTTCCATTGATCCATTGGATCCTCGCTAACAGACTCCCATGCGGAACCTCATCAAAAATCTTGCTGAAATCCAAGTAGACTACATCAAAAGCATGTCCTCATCTACAGTCCTGGTCACCTCATCAAAAAATTAGTTCTAGTTAGACAGACATGACCTCATCTTAACAAAACCATACCAACTGCTCTTGATTAATCCTTGCCTCTCCAAATTCGGATTAATTCTGTCCCTGAATTGCTTCCAATAGATTTCCCAGCAGGTTAGACTGACCTGGCATGTAGTTTCCTGGTTTATCTCATGCTCCCTTTTTGAATAACGGTTCCATATTGGATGTCCTGCAGTCCCCCAGCAATTCCCGTGGCCAGGAGCGAATCAAAAATTTTTTTTACAAGTGCCCCTGCTATTTCCCCTGTCTCAGTCAAGAATCTGGGATACATTTCATCTGACCCTGAGATTTATTTACTTTTAAACCTGCCAGACCACTCGGAACTTCCTCTCTGTCTATGGTAATTTAATTATACCACAAACCTTCTCCCTGGGTGTGGGGTGATTTTGCACAGTCCTTTGAGCTCTGCAGTTGGCTAACTGACAGGCTAATGCTAGTAAGTTTACATTTGACTGCTCTTTAATATAATCTTTAGGTAACACACCTTGGCCCCTTGAGAGACGCCTCTCAACCCAGCCATTATTTCAATCTCTGTTTGAGACTAGAGTTCACAAGAGTGTTAGGAGTTTGAGTGCGCTTATTGTGTATGTCTTTAACGTAGTAATTGCTGTTGGGTACACCCATTGGGCTATCATATTTAAAGAAACAATTGTAGTCCAAAGAGCCACTTTGTTTTTCTCTCACCTTCCTCCCCTCAATCAGTATGGGGAAGTGGATAATCTCTCCAGAGCCACCCTCTTTGTTTGTTTGTGTCATTTGATAATATGGTGATGTAAGCTGCAAACTTTTTAACTATTTAAGTGGGAGCAGTTTAATGGTTTTAACTCATCACTGGGGGATCTTTTTCTATCAGAGCAGTGAATGGCTTGGTCAGAGTATCATTTTATTGTCCTAGTAACAGGTATTGAACCTATCATTGCCTTTTCCTGCGCTGGCATTCTCTTGCAGTTATTGATGTTCCCTCTGAAAACCATTGCACGCTCCCATGGATTGACTCCCCATGTTCTAATTTCCAACAGAAGACCATACCATTAGTCATTATTTCTGGAAACCCTCTATTGTGCAGCCAGCCCTTCCATTCGGACCCTGTTTGTGATATGTTCGTTTCCCACACCAGGCACCCAAGCAGCTCTCTGCTGTGGACTTGCACCAAGCAGGACTTCTGTCCCAGTTCACTGGAGCTGTGCAGGCACCAGAGGCCAAGTTAACATCATCCCTGAAGTCAAGCCCAGTTATCAGACATTCAAAAGAGAATTCTTAAAGGTAGACTTGCAGAAGAGGTATTGTTGTCTGTCACTGTGAGTGTGGAGCTGACTTTTTTTTTGGAAAGGCTTCAGGTATAGTTCTGTTTCTGTCCTCCACCCTCTAATGCAATTCCCATCGAATGAATTAAAGTCTCAGAATATTGGACCATTAAATCCTATTCAGAAAACTTCCTAGACAAATAGAATGCGTGATTTTATTTTTAGTGCTACATCTGTTTGTGCAAGTGTACAGGTTAATGCTGTTCACTAAAATGCTTGAAGGGAACCACATTTATCTTTACTCAGTGTGTTCTCTGCCTCCCCATCTTTGTCCTCTGCCTCTCCATCTTTGTCCTGTGCATTTAACATGGCCAGTAATGTTAAATAGATCTCTCGTGTGTTACCAGCACCAGCTCAGATACACAACACCTGCAGTGTTCATTTCTGTTTGAGTTGGCAAGTGGTCTAAGTTGACTTCACTGGGATAAGTCAGGAAACTCAACACACCAGACCTGGTAGTTTACAAACTGGCATGAGGGCTAGTTCAATAATGCCCTGCCACCCCGTTCTGGGTTTGCCTCTGCTCCCACCTTGAGTGGTTTACTGCTAGTGCTCTCTGAAGTGGTATAGGATGTCATTCCACACGGACATCATTGCTTGGGGCGAAGGTTCACGACCTCCTGACATTCTTCAACTTTCATCCCACATCTTAAGAATTTTTTTTAATGCCTGTCACAACAAGGAAAGTGGTCTGCACTATTGTGCGCACTAATTGCACGAGTCACGTGGCTGCCATTTTGGCTTCTCTGTTACTTTCAGGATCATTCATCCGAGGCTTGGAGACAACCGCAACCTATGACCCATCAACTCAAGAGTTTGTGCTGAACAGCCCAACTGTGACCTCAATCAAATGGTGGCCTGGAGGATGTAAGTGAGCATGTAAGGAGGATGTAATGTTTGCCACTGTGTGGAAGGGGGACCTTTACATTATCATACAAGAAGCAAGGGGGTGGTGTAAATATCCAAGATGCTGCAGTGTTCTGTAAAGTTGAAGTCATGGCCCCCATTTGATAGACTGACATTTGAAGAAGTCCACTCAGAACTGCTCTGTTTTTGATTGGAGTGTATGAAAGCAACTGGCAAGTCTAATTATTCATAAAAACCGAAAGAACTGCGAATGTTGGAAATGAGAAACAAAAACAAGTTGCTGGAAAAGCTCAGCAGGTCGGGCAGCATCTGTGGAGAGAAATCAGAACATGAGTTCTGAGGAAGGGTCACTGGACCTGGAACCTTAACTCTGAATTTCTCTCCACAGATGCCACCAGACCTGCTGAGCTTTTCCAGCAATTTCTGTTTTTGTTTCCATTTATTCATGGCCATTTTTCTTTCCATTCCCTTCACTTGCTTTATAATCTGGGTAATTTCATAACCTTAGGGAGATGGTGAGTGGGTATCCTGTCACAGGATTAGTAATTCGGAGGCCTGGGTACATGGATTCAACTTCAAATGGCAACTGGTGGAATTTCAATTCAATTTTTAAAACTAATATAGAGTTGAACCAAGAATGGTTACCATGACAAACACAATAGATTTTTTTTTAGAACAATCAGAGAAGGAAATCTGACCTACTGGTGAGTCCAGACTACTGCACTGTGGCTTAGCTCTTAAATGCCCTCTGAAGTAGCCTAGCAAGACACTCAGTTCAAGGACAATTGGGGATGGGCAACAAATGCTGGTCTTGTCTGTGGCACCCATGTCCATGAAAGAAAAAAATAAATTGTAAGGTTGCTGAGATCTTCAATTCATTTTTAGAAGCAGTGAATCAAACACTAGAACATAAGGCTGTAAAGATGGCAGAATATAATTTATTCATAATTTTCAGACTGGTTTTGGATATTTAATTTTACATGGAGATGATTGCAGGACTAAGTGGGAGAAAGCTCTTCGAAGAACTGACAGACTGACAATAGATCAAATGGCTTTATTTTGTGCTGTAAGCTCCTTTTTGTGCAGTTAATTTTCAGCCTGGTTTCATCCTCTTTCCTGGGTCGGTGAGTCCTGACTTGAGAGTGTTATACCTGTTACTCCCCATTAACCCTTGCTTTTTGTTTGCACAGTGGGGAAGACCTCAAACCATGCTATTGTCCTTGCTCAGCTCTATACCCAAGGTCAATGCAAAGGGCTGCATGCTTTCATTGTACCAATTCGCAAGATGGGCAGTCATGAACCTCTGCCTGGTAAGGAGTTTGATGGAATTTGTCGTGATTCAGAGCTATCTCCAAATGTCACCCTGCACCGTCCCTCGCCCAACATGAACAAAGAGTGGGCAAATGGAATTGAGGTGCTGATCAGCTAACTAACTGGTAGAACAGGCTTGAGAGGCTGAATAATCTCTCCTGTTCCTATCATTCAGCAACAAGAAATTTATAGTTTAATCTAGTCATGATGCTCAATTGTGTGGCGTTGCGAGCAGGTTTCAATTGATATTCGTCACCAGCAAGATTCCAAGCTGTTTTTACTTTGTTTTTTGCACCATTTATTGCCGTAATTCAGTAAAGCTGAGGGATACCGAAACACATTTCAGTGCTCCATTCACCAGACCTTTGTGTCTATATGAAGTGGTGCCTGCTTCAGATGAGCTTGTGACTTGGGATCAATCACTCTGAAAGCTCTTCTTCACTTCAAACATACATGTTATGTCTGGGACTGCTGTGGATTAATTGCTAGGATTCATTAGCAACTCCTTTATTGCTGTTTCACATAACTACCAGAACGGTAATAGGTGAACCAGATGGACCTATTATCATCCTGCAATTCTCCTGGACCCCTAGGCTTATGAAGGAAGCCATCAACACACAAGCTGCTGTTTGTATCATCAGATAGCCCATGAGGCAGTGCTCACTTAGGCCCTGGGTGCTCTTCAGCCCTATATTAGATACGGGGACCTTTTGTCTTTAGTTCTCTTGACTATTGGCTGTGAACAATCTAGAGTGTTTAATCAGGCCCAACCTCAAATGCTGGCCTGTTTATTTGAAGGATGGTGGCCTGTTGGTTTGCATCAGAAATCTAGAGACTTTGACTAATGATGTTGAGCTTCACCCCACTCTTCCCCCCCCCCCAAAAAAAAAATCAAACGTCACCACCACGGTCATTTCTGATTCTGTTTCCATTGTCTCTGACTCTTTCGTTAGTTGGTGTAGTTAAGTAGTAACAATATCTAGGTATTTGAAAGTCCTGTTTTGCCCCTCTTTACACCCATCCCTCATCCTTCACAGCCTTTCTTCACTCCCCTCTCGCTCACGTCCTTTTTGCACCCCTCATTGTACCAGCTTCTGCAATTCCTCTTCCTCTCCTTTCTTCAAGCCCGCATACATACACACACACTCACACTTCCCAAGTGCGCTGTCAGGTCCTGCCCCTACTGTGTTGTCCGCCACATACCCTCTTTGCTCTAATATTCAGTGAACCTATCAGAAATAAATGAGTCGAATCCAGCCAGCAACTGGAGAATTAATGAAATGAATGTAGTGCATTGAAACCACTGTCATTTAAAAATCCATCTGGTTCACTAATGTTTGTCCAAGAAGGTGAGCCATTCTTACTGATGTGGTTGACTCTTAACTGCCTTTATGATGGCTTAGCAAACAACTCCTGACTGCTCACTTTCTTGATGACAATGGCCAATAAATGCTGACCTTCCCACAACTACTCATACCCCATGAATGAATGCACTGAGTCTGGATTGGTTGTAGTTATTTCACAGACCTCCCTCTTGCTCTCTTTTCGTCAGGTGTAGTGGTGGGTGATATTGGACCGAAGTTTGGGTATGATGAGGTTGACAATGGTTACCTGAAGCTGGAGAATGTTCGTGTACCACGTGAAAACATGCTGATGCGATATGCAAAGGTAATATAGTGGACAGTGGATGTGGGATTGCTTAGAGACTGACAACATGAGTAGGATTTGTCTTACTTACATTCTCTGCTCATTGTATCTTCTGTCTTGACCGTTCCACTACCAACTCAGTAGTAATTAAAAGCAGAACTCAATGCATTGAGGAAGCTGAATTAATTGTTAACATTGTTAAAACCACTTGGAATAATTAGTGTTAATAACAGTGCTTCTGTTGATAATCCAATAGGGGGAGGGGTGAATGATGTGTAGAGAAGGAATATTATCCCCTGGTTGGAGTCATAGCTGGCACATAGGAAGATGGTTATAGTTATTGGTCAGTCATCTCAACCCCAGGACAACTCTACAGGAGTTCCTCAGGGTAGTGTCCTAGGCCCAACCATCTTCAGCTGCTTCATCAATGACTCTTTTCTCTTCCCCCCGCCACCCCGATAAGGTCTGAAGTGGGGATTTGCATTGATGGCTGCACAATGTTCAGCATTTGCCACTCTGATACTTAAGCAACACATGTTCAAATGCAATGAGACCATGACAATGTCCAGATCATCTCCAACCTGAGACAATCTAACCATCACCTCAACATTCAATGATGTTGCCATCTCTGAATACTCCACTGTCAACATCCTGAGAGTTACCATTGCCCAGAAACCAAACAAGACTAGCCACATAATACTCTGGGTACAAAGAGCAGGTCAGAATCTGGGAATCCTACAGTGAGCAATCCACGCCCTCCCGTTTTTCTTCTCTCTCAATATTATGAGAACAGCTACACCAAATAGACTGATGTAGTTCAAGAAGGCAGCTCTCCGTCGCCTTCTCAAGGTCAATTAAGAATGGGCAACAAATACTGACTCGGCTAGCGAAGCCCACATTCCATGAATCAGTTATTTTTAAAGTTGCTTTGCTGCACTCTAATATGTAATGGTTAGTATGATGCTGATATGGAGAGGGCATTGCATAGCAGAGAGGAAGCTCAATTTAACATTGGGAGCAATGCAGCAGCGAATCAGAGGTGCAGTAATGCGCAACCGAGGGCCCGTAGCAGCATTGAGTTGACATTAAATTGACATTGTTCCTCTGAGTCTGGCAGTGAGGGGAAATGAACAATGCTATACTGCTGTTTAGGAGAACCACTCTTTCAAGGAAGGCAGAACAAAGGGAGATTGATCCCGCTGAAAATAAAACTCTAACTGATTTGGGAGTACTTGTTGCAGACTGTAAGTGCATAACGTGAGACTTGTTGCCTGACTCATATCTCACCGCTGGAGGTGCATCACAGCTATGCACATGCAATGAATGGATTTTATTGGGTTTTCAAGGTGATGCCAGATGGGACATACATGAAACCACCCAGTGACAAGCTGACCTATGGCACGATGGTCTTTATACGCTCAATGATTGTAGGAGACTCGGCACGTGCGTTATCTCAAGCATGTACAATCGCCATCCGCTATAGTGCAGTCCGACACCAGTCAGAGCTGAAACCTGGGTAAGTCCTGCACTTTGTATTTGGGAGTATGGGTATGTTACACTCCAATTTTGCGATCCACTCACGCCATGTAAAACTGCAGTGCGGAGTGTCAACATTCGTTGCCCAGGACAAAAGAGTAACTAGGTAGAGAATAGGACCCATTAAAGATCAGCAAGGCCACCTATATGTGGAACTGCAGGAGATAGGGGAGATACTAAATGGGTATTTTGCATCAGTGTTTACTGTGGAGAAAGATCTGGAAGCTAGAGAACTTGGGGAAATAACCAGTGATATCTTGAAAAGTGTCCATATTACAGAGCAGGAAATGCTGGACGCCTTAAGATGCATAAAGGTGGATAAATCTCCGGGACCTGATCAGGTGTACCTTAGAACTCTGTGGGAAGCTAGGGAACTGATTGCTGGGCCCCTTGCTGAATTATTTGTATCATCAATAGCCACAGGTGAGGTGCTGGAAGACTGGAGGTTCCCTGACATGGTGCCACTATTTACGAAAGGTGGTAAGGAAAAGCCAGGGAACTAAAGACCAGTGAGCCTGACATCAGTGGTGGGCAGGTTGTCTGAGGGGATCCTGAGAGACAGGATTTATGTATATTTGGAAAGGCAGGGACTGATTAGGGAAAGTCAATATAGCTTTGTGCGTGGGAAATCATGTCTCACTAACTTGATTGAGTTTTGACAAGGTTCCTCATGGTAGACTGATTAGCAAGGTTATATCACACGGAACAGAGGGCGAACTACCTATTTGGATCCAGAACTGGCTCGGAGGTAAAAGACAGAGGGTGGTGGAGGGTTGCTTTTCAGACTGGAGGCCTGTGACCAGCAGTGTGCCACAGGGATCGACGCTGGATCCACTGCTTATTGTCATTTATGTAAATGATTTGGATGTGAACATAGGAGGTATGGTTAGTAAGTTTGCAGATGACACAAATTGGAGGTGTAGTGGACAGTGAAGAAGGTTATCTCAGAGTACAACGGGACCTTGATCAGATGCGCCAATGGGCTGAGGAGTGGTAGATGGAGTTTAATTTAGATAAATGTGAGGTGCTGCATTTTGGGAAGGCAAATCAGGACAGGACTCATACACTTAATGGTAAGGTCCTGGGGAGTGTTGCTAACAACGAGTGCAGGTCCACATTTCCTTGAAAGTGGAGTTGCAGGTAGACAGGGTAGTGAAGAAGGTGTTTGGTATGCTTGCCTTTATTGGTCAGTGCATTGAGTATAGGAGTTGGGTGGTCATGCTGCGGCAGTATAGGACATTGGTTAGGCCACTTTTGAAATATTATGTTCAATTCTGGTCTGCCTGCTACAGGAAAGATGTTGTGAAACTTGAAAAGATTCAGAAAAGATGTATAAAGATGTTGCCAGGGTTGAAGCTTTGAGTTATAGGGAGAGGCTGAATAGGCTGGGGATATTTTCCCTGGAGTGTTGAAGGCTGAGGATTGATCTTATAGAGATTCATACAATCATGAGGGTCGTGGATGGGGTGAATAGACAAGGTCTTTTCCCTGGGGTGGAGGAGTCCAAAACGGGAGGTCATGGGTTTGAAGTGAGAGGGGATAATTTTAAAAGGGACCTAAGGGGCAATGTTTTCACGCAGAGGGTGGTGCGTGTATGGAATGAGCTGGCAGAGGAAGTGGTGGAGGCTGGTACAGTTACCACATTTGAAAGACATCTGGATGGGTATATGAATAGGAAGGGTTTAGAGGGATGTGGGCGAAATGCTGGCAAATGGGACTAGATTTACTTAGGATATCTGGTCGGCATGGATGAATTGGACCGAAGGGTCTGTTTCTGTCCTGTTTATTTCACCGACTGTGTGGTCTCTGCTATTTTGATTCACCACATTTGGTGCAGATTCTGTGATCGTCTTCATAGTCTTGTACTTCTTAACCTGAGGGAGAGACGGTTCATGGTTCCGGATCTTACTTGGTCTCCAGAGACTGAATTGTCCATGTTCAGCTGTCCTTCAATAATTCACAACGTTAATGATAATTCATTCTGAGATTGTATAGGTCTTGTTTGAGCCTGCTCAGCTGTGAAATAGACTATTTATTATACTAGTCGGGTGGAAGTATTCTGTGGTTTGGATCGATATTGTCATGAGTAGGCCACTCTTACAGCACCTTCACTTGAGAAATGGGATGAGTAAAGGTCCCTAATGCACATCTACAAGGGGCACAAATCTGACGAAAATTATTTAGTGGAAAGCTGAAGCTTTATGATTTGAACTCGCCTTTATGCAGCAATGATAGTAGGAACAGGCATTGATCATCCATTCCCTCGAGCCCTCTCTGCCAGTCACTTAGATTATGCCTGATCGGTGTCATGGCAACATTTATCTGCCTTACCTCCAAGCTTCAAATACATTGCTGTTCCAATCACTTGGTTGTGTCGAACTTGAGGAAAAGACAGGCCTGTTGTCAAGGTGTTTCACTTTGCACTCATCAGGACAAATGCAAGAAAGCCAAACGATCGCAACAGTTTATACTGTAGGATAAAAGGGTAATGATTTTGTGATTTTGAAATTTGTCATTCCTGATGAATGTAAGACCAGAAAGCTTCAGTATGTCTCTCTTTGCAATGAGATCCTTGATATCTTTGGAGTGGCACATTGGCTCAGTGGTTAGCACTGCTGTCTCACAGTGCCAGGAACCTGGATTTAATTCCAGCCTTAGGCAACTGTCTGTGTGGAGTTTGCACATTCTCCCCGTGTCTCCGTGGGTTTCCTCTGGGTGGTCCCTCAGTACAAAGATGTGCAGGTTAGGTGGATTGGCCATGGGAAATGCAGTGTTACAGGGATAGAATAGGAGGGGTGGATCTGGGTAGGATGCTCTTCGGACGGTCGGTGTGGATTTGATGGGTCAAATAGCCTGCTTCCACACTGTAGGGATTTTATGATGTTGAAATTCTTTTCTGAATTCATTTAATTAATGATGGCACAATAGAGAGGGCTGACCTAAGTCCAAGAAAACAAGATGTGGAAATAAGAAATGATAAGGACAAGAATTACTTGATTTGCTTTGGCTTCACTTTGTGTGCATTGCAATGTAATTGGATCTTGTGTTGCCTGTGATTGGTTTTGCTAGTGATCCTGAACCCCAGATACTGGATTACCAAACTCAACAATACAAGCTGTTTCCACTGCTGGTGACAGCCTATGCCTTCCGATTTGTTGGAAACTTCATGAGGGATACATACCATCGTATTACCGGGGACATGAATGATGGAGACTACAGCCAGTTACCCGAGGTATGGGGGTGACGTGTTGGGGAGCTATATTATTCTGATCACTTTGCTGCATTGGCCTCTGATGGAAACAGTTCTGTGTGAAGTATTTAGTGGTTCAGCTTCACTCCAGAATGTTCTCTGGTGTCCATTGATCCATTCTGCTGTAAGCTGTCTTTGAGCATAAGTATAGAATGCACAATGTTACAGAGAATTACAAATTACTATTGATATCTTGGTTAAGATTTCCTACCAATTCCCCTTCTACCCACAATTCCAGCCTCCATGGAAGGTACAGCTTTATGGCAGGTTACTCCCCTTCGCAACTTGCCCCAGTTCTGATAGCATCTTGAGAGTCTAGATGGTGAGGTTGTTTGAGGCACACAGCCAGATGTAGCATTTTTGTTTCACTCGCTGTCCTCCAACTTTAATTTTGGCCCCATGCCTCAGTGCCATGTTCATAGACCCCTCATCCACGGTCTTAAACAATGTGCAGATTTTCAGGGAAGTGGCAGTCCTAAGCAAAAGAAGGGATCCCCTTATTTCACCGTGACTCCCCTCAAAAAAACAGATGTATTTCTGTTCTCTCAAGTCTTTCTTAGCATAGAGCTGCCAGAAGAAGGCAAATAATGCCCCCTTTTCGCAGCAGTCAGCTGCCGTATTCTGAAATTTAAAAGTCCAGACAGGCACTTTGACAGCTGCTGTCAACAGGTAACTGATGTAAGTGGATACCAAAAGAAAGTGAGTCTAGCCTGGTGAAGGGTGGGTGTGTGTGCTGTGGGTGGTGGTGGTGGGCTGATGGTTTTGAGAATGAGTGGAATTGGATCCATTGGGGCGTGATTTTGGGGTTTGGTATGAGGGGAGGAGGATGGAGTGTGAGAGAGAGACTTCAGTGCATGAAGGTGGCTCAGAAGCACTTTCTGAAGGGCAAGTAGGAATGGATACTAAATACTAGCCTTGGCACATCCTGAGATGCCAGTGTCATTATTTCAGTTCAGTTTTCTGGTGCATCCTCTATTCACTCAAACCCTAAGCACAGTTCATGCTGCATCTCCCCTGAGTGCAGTGACCACAGGAGAAAATTGATGGTCGAAACTGAAAGGACTGAATTTCTTCCCATTTCAGCACAGCGTAATGACTTTGGGTACACTCCCTCAAACCATAATACCAGTACCTACATACAGTAATGTTATGAGCCAGTGGAGCATAAAGCTGAGAAGCTCCTATGACAGGTTCAATCAGGAGCTGACCTGATCCTTCTGTACTGACTATGTCAAAATATCAGTTTTAGTCACTGTCTGGAAGACCATACAAAATCTTCCCTACAGTGCTGACCAGACCAGTAGTACCAGGGATAGAGATAGTAGG